AAATTTTAAAAAACTTCTAATCAGTGAACTGGATACAATTCTATAAGTTTTTTTTGTTCTCATGAGGAAAATAGGGTGTTTATTTTTACTTGCCATTTTTCTTGGAAATCTGGACAAATTATAACCAAACCATTGTGAATCCTGAATTATTACATGCTTCATAAACTGTCCCATTAGTTTAGCAGTCCCATTTAGTTTTTAGTTGCTACTGAGCTATATTTCTTATATGGCAAACCTACTCACATTCAGTTAACTACTTCTGGTTGTGGCTAAATGAAAACATGGAACACTGGTTACAATGTAAATCTGATGGCCACCAGATGCCAACAAATACTTTTATCCAGAAGAATCGGTAAATAAAACTACCAAACAGATTAATTAAACAAATTTGAATATATATGAAGATTTAAAGTGCAAGGAGGAAAAATAGAAAATAAATATGATTTATAAAAATATTCAAAATAAATGACTATCGGTCGCTGCTAATCTTTAGTACAATTTATTAGTTATAGTCTTACTTTTGCTTGTACCAACCCCAACCGATTTCAATAACTAAAATGTTTAAAAAGTGTACATAACTAAGTCAATCGAATAATTGATTTATGATTTCTAACCTGACTGTGACCAGAATGGCATTATTACTGGCTTTCTCTTGCACCTTTCATGCTTAACGTAATTTCCATACTAACACGGTGACATATTCCGTACACTATGGGCTGGTTTATTTCCATCCGACAACATAATTGAATAATTCATCCTATTCGGTAACTGCCGGATAATTTCCGTAAATTGCCATAACGTTGAATTTGGAATTATATCACTTTTCACACGTGAACATATCAATTAAACTGATTGTTAAATCCACGTGAATGGCGGCAAATTTGTTTTTTGTCATTCATTTTCTTTCCTTGATTCGACATTGTAAGTATCGGAAGCAGACGACATAGGTATGTATATCTATAGTCGAAAATGTACACTCCTTTGCTGAAAATGGAGTCGTCCAGGAACTTGAAATGGGTCTCAGTCATGTCCGTTAAGCATGAGACGAGCAGAAGATGAGGTGTTAGGGATATTCAACTTGTTCTGTTTAGAAATCAATGAATAGAATGATTAAGGTCCTTGCACGTTTTATCACTTTAAAGATTTTCATTATTGAAATCATTAGGGAGATACAAACAAACGGGTTGATATACTCGGACTATAACAACATCCCTCCATACAAACGTTGTACTTTCTTTTCTAAATGGTGTCATTTTTTATTAGTCATAATTTAATGAAACACAAGAGAGTCCAAAGTGAAACTATATTCTTTTGTGTGAGATACTATCCAAGTTTGATGCACACAATAATTCTGAATTTACATGCAAGACAGCAGCGCTGAGACAATTAAAAATCTACGATAACCTTAAACTGAATTTGTCCTTCTCATCTTTTCATAATAATATATTCAATTTTCATTGTTATATTGTGTCTTTTGCTGTTTATGATAAAAAATATTTCAGTGTCTTTCTTTGGCTACATGGCATTCCAACCTCTTTAACAAAACGTTGTTTCATTCAATGTAATTTACTGCTATGGATGTACCCTATGTAAGTGTACTTCCATAGCAGAAAAGCAATGTATATTATTCCAAAGGTCTTAGGTTCCATTCATTAGTTGAATGATGTTTCAATTTTTCGGAAGAAAAAAAAAAACATTGCTATATTGTTTTCAATTATGTTATTCCTATAATATAATACGAAAATTAATAAGACTGTCTTTAATTATATAATATAATGTTATTGACAGAGTATTACAATATTGGTCTCATTTAGTTTGGATAGTATGTTCTTACAAGCTTGGGCATCCATCAACGCTTGCCCTTTGATCCAATATTTTTCAGTTTTCAGTTAATAATCTATACTTATTGCATAATTATTTACTGCTGTTTTTCATTTTTAACATTCGGTAAATTTGAAGAGATTAATCCATAGCTGAATCACACAAATAAATAATGGAAATGAGGTATTGTACGCTAAGGGTTCCTCTCTGCAAAAGCATTTACTACTAGTTCCTTGTCTTCCTTTTGTTGATGTTTTTACCATATTGTTATCATATTAATTATTTAGTTTGCACAATTAATTGAATTATTGGTTCATTTTGTAATTGTAATGTTTATTACAGTATTTCATAATTAGCTAGCTTATTAAGAACGAAATCTCAAAACCAGAAAAAGAAAAATATATTCGGTTTCCTATCAGTATTAGCAAATAATGCCAAACCCTTGTTACATAGAAAATAGTTTAATCAAGTAGCTTGAATAATTCAATTTAATCACTGTGCATCATACAAACTTGGAACACGTTGTATTTTTATGCTATGCACTGTTTTTTTTTTATTCCATGTACTGTTTTATAATACCATTTGCTTCATTAGTATCAATAAATTTTGACATGCACTGTGCTAGCAGGCATGATTGCAGATACTTTTTCTCATGTGCCAGGCACTCATACAGACATATCCATTGGATACTGTATGTAATTAGAGATCGTTTGACAGCAAATAAAATGTGCTGTGGCCAGTGAACATTTATGGTATAATGTTATTTTATTATTCACTGAATCATTGTTTTATAGGTTTAGATAGCATAACTTGTAAAAAAATATACATTTTTCTAATGAAGAAAAGAAGCAGAGAATGAGAAATCAGTTTGGACCAGTGATCTGAGTCACTGATATTAATTTGTTGGAAGGGCTATAGATTAATATTATTTTTTCCTGTAATGTTGTCATTCTTTAACGAGATTTGCCAGCCTGAAATGCAGTAAATATGACAATAAATACTTGACTTCATCCTATACTCTGAAGCAACTTATATATGTATTATGACATTTTAATTACTTTACTGTATGTCATGTAATTTTTCAAATGTAAAAGCAAAATTATCTAACTGCATGTATATGCATAAGAATAATTGTCGTGTTGAGGAAGAGAGTGTGTACAAAAAATATAGGACCCAACACTGAGAAGGATTACAAATATTTACACTATCATGAACATTAATTTCACTGAGACAAGATGTAATTGTGCTAAAGCAGTATGTGTATTAAAATAGAAAAGATAGAAAATAAATACCCACGACAAAAATAGATATTCCAACACATTATTCTTCTTGCATATTTTGATTAAATGAAATATGACCAGATGAGAGAGAGAGAGAGAGAGAGAGAGAGAGAGAGAGAGAGAGAGAGAGAGAGAGAGAGAGAGAGAGAGGTCAGGACGTCTTTCATCTTTATCATTTAGTTACTTGTTGATTGTGATCTTGTTCATGTGTAAGGGAAATACCGTATTCCATTATTAATTAATACCACTGAAAACACAGTTTCTTCTTGTTTTACTTATCGTATCTTATTGATTTTGATGTTTAAAGGCTGATTGCCTTGGTCACGTTGACTGAAAGAAGTTTGTGGATGACTTTTACATTTGGCCGGTGATGTGATGTGATATGCTTATGATTTTTAACGTAGCTTTAACAATTTTAGTCCTATCGCTACCATGTCTGCCGTGTGGCAGTTCATAGAGATGTATAACACTAGGGCATCATGCGGCAGACATGTGGTGTGATGTCCCAGCCAGTCACATTATCCTGACACCAGGCCAACCAGTCCTAACAATAAACTCTTAATGCTGAGCGTCAAGCAAGACAGCTGTTAGTACCACTTTTGTAAGTCTTTGGTATGACTCGACCGGGGATCGAACCCACCTCTTCTCGCATCAGAGACTGACACTCTAACCACTAGGCCACCGGAGCGGTTACATTTGGTGGGAAAGAAGGCTACTGATTTTGCGGTCAGAGACCAGAATTAATGTTTATGAAAGATGTAAAATATTGGGTTTTTTTTCGCATAATAACTTATGTTTTAGAACACATACCTTGTCAAAAGTGTGGGAATGGCTTCCACATAAAGTATGGGCGTTTTTTGATTTTGGGACCAAAAGATGAAAGTTAAAGGTCATTGTTACTAAAAAGGATTTAATGTTGTGTCAATTAAGGTCATTGACTCAATTTCATGGATGACTGGCACTTAAAGTAATAAGCTAACAAGATTTGGCATCAAGAGATCAAATTTATAGTTTGTTCTTTTAAGAAAATAATGCTTTTGCCACATATCTTTACTTCCATACTGCATGCCTTGACCAATGGTCCAAGTCACGGAGACATATTAGCCAATAATATCCAGAGTAAACCATGCCATACTAGTTTAAATACAGATCTAGTGTATACTGTGCATTCACAGTACTCCGACAAAAATATTTGTACAGCCGTGGATGTTACTTTAATACTTCAGTCCCTCAATATTACACACACATGCACACACACACACACACACACACACACACACACACACAGATATATATATATATATATATATATATATATATATATATATATATATATATATATATATATATATATATATATATATAGTGTTATGTGTAAGCTGGTGCAAATGTAACAAAAGAAAAGAGTGAAGTCAACAAGCTTTATATATTTTAACAAAGTAATTTATTTTCCTACAAAACAATGTAAAGCTTGGTAAATAGTACTTACAGTTTGTGAATATAATCTAAAATTTGATTTAAGAATTAAAACACAACTTCTATCGCTAAATAGTTCTTTTAGAATCCAGGTTGTTATCCTGACGACATGCAAATATGGAAGGCGATGACGTCATATGTAGTCAATGGATGAATATCAAAAATTCCACAAATGAATCAGTTTTTGTTTCCGAATAATTTCAGATTAAATTTCCATATATTTCTTTCAGAATATTTGTAAGAAAGTCAATCTGTTGAGTTTGCAGGAGATTAAATTATTAAATCAAACAAATCAGATGAATAACAGACAATCTGGCAACAAATAAAAATAACATCTGATTCCTTCAAGATATTTAAACGTCTGCCAGAGGAGTATTGAAAATTTAAACCTCAAAAAACACCATTACTCGCTAAATGGGTCATGTGGTCTGTTACTACAAGAGATCTATCACGTAGTCCAGTGTAGCCTCACTTTAAAGCAATTAATAAAGAAACGTTGTTTACACATAGTGATCATGCAATGAAAGAATGGGTTTTTAAAAAAATTTA